CACAGGCCGACACTCAATCGACTGAGCCACACTATCCAGGGCTCATGACTTATATTTTTAAGTCTTTAATCAATTTTTAGTTTATCCTTGTGAATGGTATAAGTTGGTGGTCTAGTTTTTTTTTTCTCTTGCATGTATGTGTCCCAATTTTCCCAACACCATTTTTTGAAGAGACTGTCTTTACCCTCTTATATGTTCTTTCCTCCTTTGTCAAGTATTAATTTAATATAAAGGCATGGGTCTATTTTGGGGCTCTCTATTCTATTCCTTTGATCGGTATGCAGGTTCTTACGTCAGTACGGTTGTGTTTTGTTTACTCTAGACTTGTTGTTTACTTTGCTATCAGGTAGGGTGATACCCCCCAACTTTGTTCTTCTTTCACAACATTGCTCTAGCTATTGGGGGGTCTTTTGTGGTTTCATATAAATTGTTGGAATATTTTTGTCTAGAACTGTGAGATATGCCATTTATATTTTAATAGAAATTGTGTTGAAGTTGTAGGTTGCTTTGGGTAGTATATATGTTTTAATGATGCCAATTCTTGCTATTTATGAACATGATATATGCCCCCACTTATTTGAATCTCCCTCAGTTTCTTTCTTGCGTATCCTATAATTTTCTGAGTACAGGTCTTTTACCTCCTTGATTAAATTTATTTCTAGATATTTTACTTTTTGTTGCAATAGTAAATGGGATAATTTTCTTACTTTCTTTTTCTGATAGTTCATTATTGGTGTATAAAAATGCCACCAATTCCTGAATATTTATTTTGTATCCTGCTACATTACTGAATTTGTTTATCAGTTCTAGTAGTCTTTGGGGGGGTTTATATAGACAGTATCATGTTGTCTGCAAACAATGACAGCTTTACTTCCTCCTTTCCAATTTGGATGCTTTATATTCTTTTTGTCTGATCGCTGTGGCTAGAACTTCCAAGACTACATTGAATAAGAGTGGTGGATGCAGGCATCTCTGTCTTGTTCTTGGTCTTAAGGGAAACGCTTTCAGTTTTTGCCCATTCAGTATGATACTGGCTGTGGATTTGTCATATATGGCCTTTATTATGTTGAGGTATAATCCCCCTATTCCTACTTTGTTTAAAGTTTTTTTATCGTAAATGCTAGTTTTATCAAATGCTTTTTCTGCATGTATTGACATGATCATGTGATTTTTATCCTTCATTTTGTTATGTGATATACCATGCTTATGTGATATACCATGCTTATTGATTTGCATATATTGTACCAACCCTGCATCCCCAGAAGAAATCCCACTTGATCATGGCATAGGATCTTTTTAATGTATTGCTGGATCTGTTTTGCTGATATTTTGTGGAGATTTTTAACATCTATGTTCATCAAGGACATTGACCTATAATTTTCTCTTTATAGTGTCTTTACTTGGTTTTGGAATTAGAATAATTCTGGCTTCATAAAAATAGCTTGGAAGTATTCCATTCTCTTGCATTTTGGGGAATAGTTTGAGAAGAATATGTGTTAGTTCTACTTTCAATGTTTGGTAAAATTTGCCTGTGAAGCCTTCCAGTCCAGGACTTTTGTTTTCTGGGACTTCTTTAGTTATTGCTTTTCTGTCACGTAGTTGGTGTTTTCAGATTTTATTTTTCCTGATTCTGTTTTGGAAGATTGTATGTGTCTAAAAATGTATCCATTTCACCCAGGTTGTCCAATTTGTTGGTATAAACTTGCTAATTATATTTGTTTACAATCTTTTGTATTTCTTGGTGTTGCTGGGAGATTTTTGACTACCGGTTAAGTCTTCTTAGGAGCATTCATTCATCTGTTCAGATTTTCTTTTTTCCTGGTTCAGTCTTGGTGAATTGTATGTTTCCAATCTGTATTTCCTTTTTCTCCTAACTTTGAGGTCAGTTTGTTTTCTTTTTCTGGTTATTTTAGGGTTATAATTTGGTTGTTTATTTTAGATCTTTTTATTTATTAGTATATGTTTTCAATGCTATGAACTTACCTTTTAGAACTCTTTTTTGCTGCTTCCCATTACTTTCGGTGTAATATGTTTCCCTTTTGTTTATCACATGGTTTTTTTATTTGCTCTTTAAATTTTTCTTTAATCTACTGGCTATTAATTCCATGTATTTGTATTTTAGTTTTTCTTCTGTTGTTGATTTCCAGTTTTATAGCATTGTGGTCAGAGAAGATATTTGGCATGCTTTTTACCCCGTTGAAGTTCTCAAGCTTTATTCTGTGGTCTAACAAATAATCTATACTGGAAAATGTTCCATGTGCACCGAGAAGATGCATATACTGCTGTTAGAATGTTCTGAATTTGGCTCGGGTTCTTGTGGTCTATAATGTTGTTTAAGTAAGCTTTAGCAGCATCCCATGGAATTTTATATGTTGTGGGATTCTTTATTTGTTTTGAGACAATTTTTATTTTCCTTTTAATTTCTCTTTGATACATTTGTTCTTCACATATGTGTTGTTTATACATATTTGTAAATTTCCCCAGCTTTCTTTATGTTCTTGTTTTCTAGCTTCATACCACTGTGTTCAGAAAAGACAGCTAACATTTCAGTCTTCTTAAGTTTGCTCAGACTTGTTTTGTATCTTATCATACGATCTCTGCCAGAGAATGCTGCATGTGCACTAGAAAAATGTGTACTCTGCTGTTGATGGATGGAATGTTCTATGTGTGTCTGTTAAGTGCATTTGATAAAGACTATGGCTCAATTCCAACATACCAGGAGGTTGCTGTTGCTGCTGTCAAAAGCCTCAGCACTTGCAGTGTGCCCCTGGGGAGCAGGACTGCCTTGGTAAATTCCTCCTTCTCCTCTGCTTTCTAATTTGTCTGTCTCTCCAATGCCATGCTTGAATCTCCCTTCAGGCAGGCTGGAGTGAATAATCTCCAGGTGAGTGAATAATCTCACTCACATATATCTACCCAGTTTTGCACTTTCCGGGTTTCTTCTTCCCAATACTTGAGAGTGGATATGTGGCAACTTGGTGGACTCCCTTGGATCTGAAGGCCCTACCTAAGTTCCATTTGTTGGTTTTGAATGCACCAACATATTGGCAACCTCTTGGATCCCTTGGTGTAATGGGCAGAGCCACATTTGTTCAGCTATGGATGTCAAATTTGTTTTATAAATTCAGAAAAAGAGCAATTACTTATATTGCATAATGCTGATGTCACTCATGGCCTTCATTTTTGAAGTACAGTTTTGCCACACATTTATTCTTGGTTCACAGTTATTTTTTTCCTTTGGTTCTGTAAGATTTCAGCTAAGAAAACCATTCATCCTTGTAGAAGCTCTCGTGTATATGATATGTCATTTTTCCCTTGCTTTGAAAACTCTTCTTTTGTGTTTGATTTTTTAAAAATTATTTATTTATCTATTAACAGAGTGAAAGAGAGGGAGAAAGAGGAGAGGAACATCAATGTGTGGTTGCCTCTCACCCGCCCCCTGCTGGGGATCTGGCCCACAACCCGGGCATGTGCCCTGGCTGGGAATCGAAGCTGTGACCCTTTGGTTCACAGAACGGTGCTTAATCCACTGAGGCACACCAGCCAGGGCTGTGTTTGATTTTCAAGATTGTGGTAAAAATAGTTCTCACTATGGGGTTCTTTGGGTTTAGCTTATTTGCAATTTGTTCACCCTTTTGCATTTGTGTATCCATTTCTTTTTTCAAGTTGGGGGGTTTTTCAGCCACTATTTCTTCAAATAACATCTATGTCTCCTTTTCTCTTTTCCTGGGATTCTTATAATGTATGTATTATTCCACTTGATGGCATCCTATGAATACCTTGCTCTCTTTTCACATGTTTTCATTATTTCTTTTTGCCCCGAGACCCAATATTTTCCAATGATCTGTTTTTAGGCTTGTTTCGTTGATTTATTATTCTGCAGGTCTCAGCCTTCTGCAGAACCCTTTCAGTGAACATTTCAGTTCACTCATTATATTTTTCATTCCAGGATTTTCTGGTCGTGTCTTTATTACAATTTACATCTTTGTGTTTATATTGTAATTTCGTTCATATCGGGTATTTTTTATTTTTGTTTGTCCAGGATGTCTTTTAACCCACTAACATTTTTAAGACTGTTATTTTCAAAGCTTTGTAAAGTAAGCCAAGGGGATTGGTATCTAGAGACTTATTTTGTTCCTTTGAATGGCTATGTTTCCCTGTTTCTTTGTATGCCTTGTTATCTTTTAAAAAATTAGGTATTTAAAGTCATATCAACCTCTCCTCATCTTTGTGGACTGCCTTTGTGCAGAGGAAGTCCTTTACTAATTAACCTGGCCTAAAGATTTAGTGTTCTGTCAAAACCTTTGGAGTTGGGTCTTTTTTGAGCCTGCACTTTTTAAAATTCCATTTCCTCTGTACATATAACCACTCCTTAATGTCTTCATTTCCCTAAGTGTCTCATCCTGTTCCTTCTCAAACCCTTAGTTGTTTTATATGGTAGCTCTGTCTGTAATATCTTATACCCAAATACTCGTAGGTCTGCAGTAACCATGCAACTCTCTCATGCCACAGCTCCAACCACTGCTTTTGATGGTTTCCGACCTGATAGACAAACTATAACTCAATTCCGCCCATCAGTGTTCCCTGACAAGCAAGAGATAAACCAGTGCTCCAGGCTGCCCCGTATTAGCCAGAACTCTGCAAGCAAATTCCACTCCTTTCTTTCCACCCTAAGGTAGAAGTTAGTAGTTAGGTAGGCGGCTTCCTCCCAATCTTTCTGCGCTGTGCCAGGAAGGGGGTGGGACAAGAATGAGCAAAGGTCCCGTGAGATTTCTTAGCATTTTGAGGGCAGCTTTTCTTTTCTGGTCATTTGTTTTATTGCTGCAGTTTCTTGACTGGTTTTCAGAGGTCCCACTGAGCTATTTGGTCTGTATGTTGGTATTTCCATGAAGCAATGAGGGCCTGGAGCTTCCTTGTAAGCCATCTTGCTGACAGCACTCTCCAATGATTTCTCTTTGTCCTACACATGTTTATCTGCCATTCTATCTTCATTACCTAAGGTTGTGACTCACCTGGGAAATACGCTAGGAGCCTCCGTTCAACACGTTAAACTGAAGCAAATGAAGTATTCTTTTCAGTTATGGGTCACAATGATGTCAGCAAGAGCATATGATGGGAAGGTATGTTCAGTACTTTTCCTCCTTTCTTCTTTCCTTTTGCAAAGATTTATTGGCCCTCTATTGTGGGCCATATGTTCTAGATATGTAGGAATGAAGTTCATAAGCAAATAGTTGACATAGTTAAATACTTTGGGATTATACAGTTTGGTGAGTGCTCTACTGGTATAAGCATATATGATTGTGTGATCACAGAGGGAGGACCCATCTCTAGGTGGAAGTCAGGAAAAGCTTCCTGGTGTAAGATTGCTATTTACCAATGCTTGAATAATTTGGAGGCCTTCACTAAGTAAAGAAGTTATACAGGGTGTTCCAAGCAGAACGCGGGTACAGTGGCATGAGGTTTATCCCGGTAAAGCGTGTGCTGGGTATCAGAGCATTTAGGCTTCAGTAAAGCATGAAGTGGTCAGGTAATTCCAGTGGTCAAGATCACAGCTTGCCTCCCCCATCAGAGGTGTTTACAGATACACACACAATTATCCACTTTTCTGCAATGTATTTCACCCTGGTGTTATTGGCTAAGTTTAGAAGTTGATGTGGGTACTTGTGAAAGATGCTTTACTTATGATTTCTTCAGGCTCACTGAAAATTTTAAATATGAATTATTTAAGAATAATAAGTTGCATTTGACATTATGAAGAAATAGAGAGCCCTTTTCAAGTCTTTTAACTTTTGTAGATATGGTGGCCATTAAGAATGTATATGTTGGAGTATGACAGACCCAAATACAAATTGCAAGCCACTTTCAGCTCTTTTTTCTTTTCGGTGAGAGAGTTCTTGTTTATTCATCACTCTACTCATCTGTGAAATGAAGCTATTGATACCTGCGTTACAAGATTATTTTCTGGATTCAGAATATATGTAGTAAAGTATGTGACATTTAGTAGCCCTTCAATAAAGGAGCACTTTCACAATCCCTTTCTACCTCCAGGAAAATAAATTACCAGCCACTATACTCATGTTTAAGAAACACATACACTTTTTCTTTTATATAAGCACCTTGGAAATATCTCAGAATACGAAGTCCATGTAAATCCACAAGCTTAGATGTTTAGACTCTGAGATATAGGTTTCTAATCAGAGTGTGAGAACAATGCTAAATCAAAGATCAGTAACAAACCTTTTATTCTTAGCACTTGCAGGAGATAGTCTCTTGTACTGAGTAACTTGGAGAAACTCCTAACATAAGTGCTGATTTTGAAAGTTGGTCCTAAATTTAAAAACCGGAAAGAAGACAAGAGGGTGAAAAGAACTGGTGTCCTCTCAGCTTGAATTGTGAAGCCTGACTCAGATACAGTATTCATAGGCTCTACCATGTAGCTCAGTAATGGTTCATCTCTTCAGAACAAGTACATTATATGGTTGGTACTTGAGGCTTTTACTATGGAAAAAGGATGTGGCCATTTCCTCAGCCATACTTGTTTATGGCCATTTTGTTGCTTTATTATAAGAGATTTGTTGAATTATAATTTATACATCATGCAGATCACTCATCTAAAGCACACAATTAAATGGTTTTTAAAACACAGAATTGTGCAGTCCTCATGGCAATCAATTTTGGAACATTTTCCTGAGATCACCACAAAAAGAGACCCATACTCATGATCAGTCACGTTCAATATCCTCACTGCCCCGATCCACAGCCTTAGCAAAAACTAACCTGCTTTCTGTATCTCTTGATTTGCTGATTCTGGACATTTCAAATAGGTGAAATTGTACATTGTGTGGTGTTTTGTTATGGTCTTCCTTCCCTTACCTTAATATTTCTTGCATTTCATCCATGTTGTACCTTATGTCAGTACCTTATTTCTTTTTATGGCTGAACAATATTCTATTGAATTGATATAATTTGTTTATCTGTTCATCAGCTGATTGTTATGTGGCTATTATTTACTGTGCTGCTGTGAACATTCTCATTCATATTGTCCTAAACATACCTTTTTGAGAGAATACTTGTATTTCTTGTGTTAGCAGTTTGAGATGTTTATTTTCACATTTACATTTAATCTCTTCCTTTCCCAGCTCTTTTTAAAAATCAGATTTATTGATGTGACATCGGTTAATAAAGTTTTGTTTCATCTCAGGAACCTCTGAAATTTGTGGATCTGCTTAGTGACCGTGGGAAGCCTATCAACCCTCTGTGGGAATTGGTCAAATGGTGCCTGGGCCTATCAGTGCACACCATCCCTGCCATTGGTATAGAAATCATCTTTTCTCTGTTTTGATGTCTTTAGGGGAGGGAAGAACATCTTACCAAGAATATAAGAACCACTCGCAGCACTTTGGGAAAGCGGAAATATTAATAATGAATTAGCGTTCATCATTTGCTGACACCTCACTATGCGCCAAGCGCTTAGTGAGTCCTGTGCATTTTATCTCATTGATTTGCAGTGTGTCTATTACAATGCCCATTTTATAGGCTTAGAAACCTCAATTCATAAAGGTTGGATGGGTACCAAGTTAAAGGGTGCTCTTGAAATGTTTATCTCACAAACTCAAATACCTAGGATGCTTTCTCGTGCCATGTATTGTATTTAAATACAAAATGGAACATTTGGACAAAATATTTGACTTTAGGTGTTGGCCCGTACAGGACTATTCTGGTGAATTAACCTGGTAAAATGTTAATTATTGGTCCTGTAGAGTAAGTTTAGTTGAAGCACCTCTCCAAAGAAGTTAATGCAGCTGTGCACCCTTGTTGCAGAGTTGGACATTGCCGTTACTACAAACAGATGCTCATTGAGTACCTATGTGCCAAATATTAGGTTTTTGGTATTTTGTATGTGTTGTCCCTTTAAGCATTTAAGACAGTCTGATAGTATATATAAGTACTTATATAAAGTACTGTTACCTCTTTATAGTGAGAAACTGAGGCAAATAGAGATTGGTTATTTGTTGCAAACTGAAGTCCAGTCTTCACTTTTATAGATACTACTTGCTTAACCTTCATTCAGTTGTTTATCCTGTCAGTGATTCATTTTTCTCCTCTATAAAAAGGAATTAATGAAAGTATGTATTGACTATGTGATTGAGTGGATTATGTGCTGCCTTGCATTGTTCGACTAGTCAAATGAATTATGCATCTAAAGCATGTGAGATAGAACCTAACCATGCACATACTGGGAACTTCAAGTGGATTTTGGCCAGAAGCTAGACTCTTCAGATAAAAAATATATGAAACCATGGTACAAAAAATTATAGAGATGTACATTGCGGTATGTTTTACAAAAAATTATCAGCATCCTAAAGGTTTAACAACAGAGGGAAAGGTAGTGAATTATCATTCATATATAGGGTAAATTTTATGCTGGCACTTAAGGCCAAGTTAACAAAGATATATTTATAACGTGTGTATCAATGTAGTTAAAATGGTGAGTGGAAAATGTGGAAAGTTTTACATACAGGGTGAGCAAAGACATAATATTGGCACAGAAAAGTACATGAACTAAGTGTGCTAACACATTTGCAACTATTTCCCCCGGGCACGATATTTTGGGGTGAGTTGTTTATTCCACTGTAATCTTTTGAATTTTTTAAATTTTCTATTAGACTTATGTGCTCCTTTCATAATAGGAGCAATAAACTTATTTTTAAATAAGTCAGTAAACTCTACTAAAATAAATATTAGTATTAAATACTGAATATGATCTGGTAAGCACATATGATGCATAGTTGACTGATGTGCAAAATATGTGTACATGTGCATGTGTTAATGATCTTTTCCTAAAACAATTTAAAACTGGAAGATACATTGGATAGAATCCTCTAAAACTATAACTCTATTACAAAGTTTTTCTAAGAATTCCATGCACGAAGGTGTTTATGACGACATTAAAATTTTGGAAAAGGGCCCTGGCTGGCGTAGCTCAGTGGATTGAACGCGGGCTGCGAACCAAAGTGTCGCAGGTTCGATTCCCAGTCAGGGTACATGCCTAGGTTGCAGGCCATGACCCCCAGCAACCGCACATTGATGTTTCTCTCTCTCTCTCTCTTTCTCCCTCCCTTCCCTCTCTAAAAATAAATAAATAAAATCTTAAAAAAAAATTTTTTTTTAAAAGTTCATATGCCCGACAGTCATGGGCTAGTTCAAGAAAAAGCTATGATACATTTCACAGTCGTAAACCCTTATGAGGTAACGCTCTGTGGGAGAAGCAAGAACTCCATGGACAGCATTGTCGAAAAAGACTAAGACTCGGCACTGAATGGTCAACACTATTCATGTATGGGTGGCAAGGTCATAAGGTTTCTTCCTCACCACTTTCTTACTTCCTTGATGTTCTACAGTAAGAAAAGATAAATTAAAGAACACTAGAATTTATTTACTTTTTTAGAACACTAAAATTGGAAATGAAATGTCATACCTTAACTTGTTTCCTGTTATCATTCTGTAGGACTGGCCTTATTGGAAGAAAAACTCAAATACAGCAGCGAGAAATACAGAAAGTTTACAGCAGTGAAAGAAAGCCTGCATAAAGAATTGGTGGAGATGCTCGGTGATGATGGTGTCTTCTTATACCCCTCCCATCCCACAGTGGCTCCCAAGCATCATGTTCCTCTGACAAGGCCTTTCAACTTTGCTTACACAGGTAACTAACTGTACTTCTTTTAGTCTTTAATCTTAAAGAAATAGAGGTATTTTCCAAGAAAAGTGTAATTTCCTTTTGCTGTTGGACAAGTTTGATACATGCATGTCCAAAAATGATGTGAAATTTAAGAAAATTCCAGAAAGCAGTTTCTATTGTCACATGTGGATGATAATTTGCTAGTATCTGCATCCTGCCCTAGAACCCTGCAGGTGAGTATGACTATCACATTTTAGAGCACTGAGCTTCAGGGAGGTTCGGTGACGTCTTCAGTAACACAGTGTGAACTAACTGAATCCAAAGGCTGCCTTGGCTATTCTGATCACGCTAAAGCCAAGTCAGCTTTTTCCCCAGGGTGTATGGCTTCCCCCAAAATGCTAGTACAAAATATAATTCTCCAGGATACCCATTTCTTTGCCTTAGCTGTCATCTTTTCTGCGTTCCATTCAGCCTAGTATTCACCCAATTAATTTGTTTCAGTTTCAGCGGGTTTGGGAGCTGTGTCTGGGCCATGGTCATGTGAGGTCAAAGGCCCCTGGAAATGTATTAATAACTAGGTCAGTTTCTATAGTTTCTCCAGGGTTACTGCATATTTTCTTGCTCTATAATCCCGTGGTCCACTTTAACTTAGAATTTGGAGCTTGGTTTATTTGAGTTCAAATACTTGGCTCTATTATTTTCTACCTGTGTTTCCTGGAGCAAGATATTGAATGTTTCTGAATCTTGTTCCTCCTCTAGGAATAAAGGGTAACCTGTACCTTGGTCTTTTGCTGTCAAAAGGCATGTTCAGCCCTGGCTGGTGTGGCTCAGTGGATTGAGTGCCGGCCTGTGAAACAAAGGATCGATTCTAGTCAGGGCACATGCCTGGGTTGTGGGCCAGGTCCACGTGGGGGGATCGTGGGAGGCACGTGGCGGGAAACCACACATTGATGTTTCTCTCCCTCTCTTTATCCCTCCTTTCCCCTTTCTCTAAAAATAAATAAATAAAATCTTTAAAAAAACTTTTTAAAGAAAGTCATGTTCACAACACAGCAAATTGTTAAATCTGGTTACTGCCTGAGAATAGGATTGGGAGGGAGGGTAAGGGATTTTGTTTTTTTTATTTTCTGTAATTTCATATTGATTTATTTTTTCTTTTCAGAATATTGGGAGCATATATTACCTTTGAATGTTTTTAACCAAAAAATAATAATTGTTTTCAACAATCAAGAAAAGGTTAAATTGAATAATGCATGTAAAGTCCTTGGCATTAGGGTTGTGGAGGATGAGGGGGAGAGGGTACAAATAATGGTTTTTATCCATCATTTTCTCATCTTTACTCTAATTCTTGGCTTTGGTCAGTTACTCCCAATTCCTTGAATCTTTGAAACACGTTCCTGCCTAAGTTTCTCTCACCTAGCTACTCAAGTTGTGAAGGCAAGGAAACGTAGTTGTCTACAGGAAAGAACCGAAAGAGAAAGTGACTAGATAAAGCTTTTTGATTTTGTTTTGTTCTGCTTTTCTTTTCATTTTTATGTAATATGCCTTTATAAAGATTTATATCTCATTTATTAGCTTGCTCACTAATTTTTAATTATTAACAGCAGAGATGAGTCTAGTCCGATGTTCCCTGAGATTAACAAGGGTGACTCAGCCTGAATTTTTAGACCAAGACCAGCTCACCTTTGGAAACCTGGTTCATATCTCAACTCTGACCACTCCCCTATTCAGCCCACAGTGAAAGATCCATCTTTTGAGCTTCTCTACCACTTTTTATCTAAATCACTATTTTGTTGTTCCTGAGAACACTTCTTCTTGTTTTATTAGCAATCTTTTCATGTGTGTGTCTTACTTAACTCTGTCTAGACCGCATTCCATGAGGAAAGAGGTCATTTTGCCAGGCCATTTTATTTCTTACTTTTTTTTCTTCTTTCTTGTACCTTGAGGTTTCCCTTTCTTTCTTTCTTTCTTTCTTTCTTTCTTTCTTTTTTTTTTTTTTTTTTTTTGTACCTTGAGGTTTCCCTGTGATATCCATATGGAGATGTCAAATAGGAATTTGGTTACGTAGGTCCGAAACGTGGGTCAGGGAATGTAGATGGGAAGGTCCTTTGCTCCTAGGCGATGGCTGAAATCATGGCAGTGGCAGAGATCCCTGGGTACGTGTCTAATAGCATAAGAACAGAAAAGGACAGACTGTGGTCTCCCATGTGTTCCTCACTCTGCTGTTTGCCCCTCCTGACAGCCTCCACAGGCAGGAGTCCCAGAAACCTCCCACTCTTGACGGTGCGAATGCTCTTGCCTATTTAATCTCATTGGCCTCCCCAACCACAGAGACAGCTCAGCAGACGTGGCACTGCATAGTTTATTTATCTCGGTCTGTTCGGTCTGTTCGACTCACGTTCGTTTGATGTTACAGATGTCAGAGAACCGAAACATGCTGCAGGGCCTTACTGAAGTAGATAACACTTGCTATCTACTTGCTAACCCGAACACTTGCTCCCGGCCCTTCTGGCAAAATTCCCAGGAAGAAAATAAGGGGATGTGGGAGGAGTGTGTTTTCTTGGTGAGGCATGGTGACTGGCAGCCTCCTATCTAATAACAATTATTTGTATTCATCCAGAAATCTGTTCAACTAAGGAACTCAAGCTCAGAAGGAACTCCTCCTTGATAATACACATCACAGTTCCACAAAGTGTTTCTATAATTTACTTTATCTGTGCCCGGGGGCTGTTTGAAGCACAATGTGTAACACAAAGCTTCCAAGAATGAATACAAGAAGTTGACTCCTGTTCCATAGTTAAGGACACTGTAAGGTCAATTCTCACACCAAAAATCACAGCCCCACTTCCCAGTTTTTATTCCAGAACTCCTCCTGTGTCCTAACTAGAGTTACCTAAAAAACTTACCCTACCTCCTAATGGCTTTGTCAGTCTCAGTTCATGGAGCAGCCAATATTGGACCATTCAGGGGTTACTCAGTAAGCTGAAACCACGTGAAGGATGATTTTGTACAAAATTAGCCTCAAACTATTCCGTCTAAAGATTTCTTCTGCGTTTTCATATCCTATCCATTGTATACTGAATGCCAAGTTTATACATTAGAAGTCATCTATTCATATGTTGTTTAAATTGCTTTCTATAAGTTGCTGATGGAGTGTTCATTCATCTCTGCTTGGACACCCCAAGAATGTGAAATTAACTACCACGTAGGCCACTGCATTTAATTTTTTATGTGGAACAACAAACTTACAGCTTTTTGGAGGGATCTTCCTCTGATTGAAGTTAGCCACCGCTGGGAACTTTTCCCTGTAGTTAATTAAGTCTTGTGAACCAGGTAATATGGATACGAGATCCATGATAGATAAGAGCAGTATTGATTAAGTATCTATTATGTGCCAGGTAGTAGGAGCTAGGAATGCTATCCATTTTGTCATTTAAGGCTCCCAGAAACCCTCCACAGCAGGTACAGGTAGGCCTGTGAAAGAGACGAAGAAACAGTGACTTCAGGGTCAGAGTGAGGACTGGAATCCAACTGTGAATTGTCTGACTTCAAAGCCAGTGTGATTTCCACCCCACACATGGGTCGATGATACTTAGTATTGTTTTGCTTTTATTTCCACCACTGAAGCTGAAAACTGACCAGTTTGGGAGGCCTTCTGTCAATGACATAGAATTGTCCGACGCCAAATAGCTTGAGTGTTTAGCTGTGTTTTTATTTTTTTCTATGAGGCAATACTCTTGTTAGTTTCTAGACAAGCAAGTAGAGGATTTTTATACTTGCCTGATACTTCCAGGATGGGTAAATTCAGTCAGATATTTAATTTCTGCACTGTGATTTTTTTTATGGTGACGATGAAGACGCCCCATGTATTTTGCAGCACCATTGGAAGAATGATTAAATGTGAGCATGTGTATCAAGTGCTTTACAAGTTTTTAAAATAATGGTAATATTACAATCTATTGAACCCATGCATACGCATATGTTGACTTTAGGCAATATTAATATTTCTGTTTTACTTCATAACAATCGCTATATATTTTCCCCTTGATTTATCTGTTCCATGCATTGTACCAATAGCTGTATAGGCCTCGTCCAATATCATACAGCAGTTCTGAAAACAAGAAACTATCATCACCCTCATTTCAGAGATGAAAGAATTCAAGCACAAAGAACTTCAAACACACTTCTACAGGCACATAGCTAAGGTGGTATTGGAAATGGAAATGGAACCCAGGCCCCCACATCTCAGAGTTTGTACGTTAGTTCGCTACACAGAGGAGGAAAAAGAGGCTTGCCAGGGCTCCTCAGCTGTGCAAGAAAGAGGGTAATGGTTCAAACACAGGTCTGCTTGACTGCAGCTGCCTTCCTTCCCTGTTCTCCGGCCCCACTTGCTGTTCAGGAAATGGTAGCACCTTTACTACTATGTTTCATTGACACTCCAGAATAACCAGATCTTTATTAACCATTTGCCGAGACCAGACTGCGTGCACCGGGGTTAGAGAGATGATTCCGATACATTCCATGCCTGGCCTAGTAGGAGATACGAATAAGACCAGAGGGTTTCAAAAGAAGGCACCAAATACAATGGCAAAGGAAGAATTTCAGGGGAAATTGAAATGGGACCTGGGTCCTGAGAGAGGATTAGTAATTATCCAGGTAGCGGGGTAGGGAAAGGAAGAAAATAATCCAGGCAGTAGAAACCCCATGAGAAATGGTACAGAAAAGGTACATCGGGGACCATGAGAATGGGAAAGTGAAACAGTATACTGTCTGCAGCGCGTGAATTGGTAATGAGGGTGGAGAGTGGACAAGAGTTTGGAGACGTAAGCCTGTCATGGAGAACCTCGAGAGTCATGCCAAAAACTGCATCAAACATAGATCATGCTACCTGTCCTGGAACCATACCCATATCCCTCATTCTTTCTATGGTGCCAGTGCAGTAACAGTCTTAAAGATAATGTAGTCTGCAGAATCTTGGGATGTTTTGTTATCCTTATTGTATTCTCTGGTGACAATAAGGATTGATGATGTTACAGTTTAAGTCTTATCTCAATAGATTCATTTACACATCTCCCACTTAAGCTTCACCACACTTACCGCAACACCCACATGCCATATTAAGCGGGAGAGGCGATGACCAGGAGAGAGGGGAGGAAACAGCTTACAGAAGTGGCCTTCTACTGGCTTTCCCCCTGCACCCCAGTTGACTTTAGGTGTCTGTCCTCATGTACCTCTAGGGCCATTTACATCTCCAGATGAGCAGCATTGGGCAGTCAGCATTTTACAGACCTCCTGTGGGAAAACCACTGCTTTTGCTTTTTGATTCTTCCCAGAGATTCTCTGACTTCCACAGCATCTGGCATCAGGCTAAACCTCAAGATTTCATGTATCAGTTTTGGCAAAAGCGTAGTGCACCATCATCAGGGGTCCCTCATGTACTCACAGCAGCCATAATAATCGATCATGACATTCTTCCCCCTCAGAACAAATTTGGTCTCAGGACGTTTCTATACAGTGAGCTTGGTCATTTTACTCATCGGTAAGCTAAGCACAGAGATGAAACTTTCGTGCACTCTGAACATAGATTCTATATAACCCTGCTGTATTACAAGCTCTATGAAGGCTGCAGTTTGTGCAACCGTCCTGTCCACCTATGCAATCCCTACTGACTAGCACATTGCAGTTCTGAACATATAAACAAATATAAATTAGTAACAATGGGCTTTCCAAAAGGACGGTGTGAAAAGCTTGGCAAAAACCTCTCTCCAAAAAACGCAGCAATGAAACTGGACAAAATAACCCAATAAAATTGTTGCAAGTTTGAAATTTGATCAAAGGGCATAGTGCCATTTGAGAAGCATATATGGAAAAAAATCTCCTGATTCTTGATTGGAATGGTTGCTGTCTGTGGCATTTAAGCTGGAGGCTGTTCCCATCCTTTCCTCTTAAGCTCCAGCTCTGAGTCACCAAGATTCCACTCTGCGTAGGCAGGACAGAACCTAAAGATGGACAGCTCCCATCCATCCCAGCCCCGTCTTGCAAAAGTTCTATTGTGAGCAGACAGGAAAGACTATGAGATCCAGCATCTTTATTTCCTTTTTATTAAATTTATTGGGGTGACACTGCCTAACAAAATTGTGCAGGCTCTAGGTGCACAATTCTACAAACTTCTGTAGGTTGTGTTGTGTGCTCACCACCTGAAGCCAAGTCTCTGTTCATCACCATTTATCCCCCCATGTCCCCCACAACCCCCTTTCTCCAGCAAGCACCACACTGGTGGCCATGTCCATGAGTTCTTTCTCTTTTTTATTTTCAGTTCAATATCTCCACCCAGCACCCCCCAAGAGCTGTCAACCTGCTCTCTGTCTATGAGTCTGTCTCTGTTTTGCTTGTTAGCCCATTTTCTTCATTAGACTCCACGTATGAGTGAAGCCATATGATGCTTGTTTTTCTCTGGCTGGCTTATTTCACTTAGCACAGTGCTCTCCAGATCCAACCATGCCATCGTTGCAAAGGGTACCATTCGCCCCTTCTTTATATGGCATAGTGGTATTCTGTTGTGTAAATATACCACAGCATTTTTATCCAGTCATCTACTGATGGGCACTTGGGCAGCTTCTAAATCTCAGGTATTGTAAATCATACTGCTATGAACAAAAGGGTGCATCTATTCTTTTCAATTAGTATTTTGGGTTTCTTCTGATAAATTCCCAGAAGTGCAATCACTGGGTGAGAAGGCAGTTCCATTTTTAATTTTTTGAGGACTTTCCACACTGCTTTCCACAGTGGCTGTACCAGTCTGCATTCCCACCAACAGTGCACTATGGTTCTCCTGTCCCCACATCCTCACCAGCACTTGTTTGTCGAATATCGATGATACCTATGCTCACAGACATGAGGTTTAATTGTCATTCTCACAGCCGTGAGGTTTCATGTTGTTTAATGCGCAATTCTTTGATGATTAGTGTTCTTGAGCATCTTTTCATATGCCTATTGGCATCTGTATGTCCTCCTTGGAGAAGTGTGTGTTCAGGTTCTTTGTCCATTTTTTAATTGCACTGTTGGTGGGGTTCTTTTTTTCTTTCTTTCTGGTGTTGAGTTGTATACGTTCTTTATATATTTTGGGTATTAACCGCTTCTCAGATATATCATTTGCCAATATGTCCTCCCATTCAGTGCATTCGGTGGGTTGTCTTTTCATTTTGCTGATGGTTTCCCTTGCTGTGCAAAAAACTTTTTAGTTTGAGGCAGTCCCATTTGTTTTTCCTTTGTTTCCCTTGCCATAGATGGATCGGCAAAAATACTGCTACCAGGAATGTTCGAGGTTTTACCGCCTATATTTTCTTCTAGTAATTTTGTGGGATCAAGTGTAACATTTAAGTCTCTACTCTTTTTTTGAGTTTATTCTTGTGTATGATGTAAGAAGGTGGTCTACTTTCACTTTTTGCACAATATCTGTTCTATTTTCCTGACACCATTTACTGGATGAACTATGTTTACCCCATTGTATATTCTTGCCTCATTTGTCACATGTTAATTTACTACAAAGCCATGAGCTTATTTCTGGGTTGTCTATCTGTTCCATTGATCTATGTGTCTGCTTTTATGTCAGTACCACATTGTTTTGATTGGTAGGGCCTTTGTTTGTCTATTCATTCATTAATTCATTTTGTGAGGCCAGTACCTGTTATACCAAAACTCATGAAGACATCACAAGAAAAGAAAACTATAAATCAATATCCATCATTGATATAGATGTAAAAATCCTAAAAAAAATTAGTGAATCAAATTCAGCATGAAAGTAACTATTATGTACCACCAACAAGTGGGATTTATTCTGGGAATTGGAAAAATACATTAAAATCACAACAGATGCAAAAAAAAAGCTTTGGAGAATATTGAAAACCCATTCACAGTAAACAAAACCAGAACCCAAAACTTTCAACAACCCTGGCTGGTGTGGCTCAACAGATTGAGCACTGGCCTGAGACCCAAAGGGTCGCTGGTTCGATTCCCAGTCAGGGCATATGTCTGGGTTGCAGGCCAGGTCCCCAGTAGGGGGACACGTGAGAGGCAACCACACATTGATGTTTCTCTCCATCTTTCTCCCTCCCTTCCCCTCTCTTTGAAGATAAAGAAATAAAATCTTTAAAAAGCTTTCAACAAATTAAGAATAGATGGGACTTCCTCAAGATATGCAATATGCAAAAAACCCACAGATAACTTCATACATATTAGTGAAAGACAGGTTTCCTCCCTAAGATCTGGAACAAGACAAGGATTTTCACTTTTACCACATGTGTTCAACACTGTGAGTGCATGTAACCAAGGAAAAAGAAATAAAAGGCATCCAGGTTTTAAAAGAGCAAGTAAAATTATCTTTATTCACTAAATACATAATTAGTATTAAAAATCTTAAGAAATTTTTCAAAAACCTGAAACCAGTAAATAATTCAACAAGATCAGAGAGTACAAGGCCTTTTTAAACAGGGAAAAAGTTGGAGTACACTCACTTCTCAGTTAACAAAGCTACAGTAATCAATAAACTGTGGTACTGGTATAAGGATATATGTATGTATATATGTATATATATATATATATATATATATATATATATATATATATATAATCAGTGGAAGAGAATTCAGAGTGCAAATACAAGTCCCTATATTTATACTTATGTTCAATTGACTTTTTACCAAGCTTCAAAGACAATTCGATGGGGAAATAACAGGCTCTGCCATGGATAGGGCTGTGATAACTGGATGCCTGCATGCAAAAGAATTAAATCACACTCTTTTCACACATGAGCTATAAACATACTCTATGAATATGGCAAAGAATTAAAATTTACAAATCTAGACTACCACACAGTTCTATTACAAAGGCTCATACGTGAAAAGAAAATTCATAATGCAAGAAGATATTGCCCCCACTAAGCATTTACTCTATTTTTTTTTCTGAAAGTATTACACAGGGCAAATTAGGAGTACCATATCAGAAAACAGTGCTAGCTCTCGCTCACATTTTCTGCATTTAGATCCTAATTTGAACTTTACTCGCCCAGTAACTGTAGGTATGTTGTCTAACTCCTCTGTTCTTCAGTTACTTGATCTGTACAGTAGGAATAATTAGCAGTTTCTGTCTCATGGGTTTTGTTGTGATAATTCAAATGTTTATGAAACACATCAAGTCCCTAGAGGAGTCTTTAGCAGATAGGAAACTCTACAGGTGTGCAAGTATTATCATCACCATGGTATAATTGAGGGGAGAAAATAAGTTTTAAAGAACATGTCTTGGCTTCTCACATTATTCTCGTTTGTTTCATTCAGGTGTCTTCAATGCCCTGGGTTTGCCTGTGACCCAGTGCCCCTTGGGTCTGAATGCCAAAGGACTTCCTCTAGGGATCCAGGTCGTGGCTGGACCCTTTAATGACCACCTGACCCTGGCTGTGGCCCAGTACTTGGAGAAAAGTTTTGGGGGCTGGGTGTGTCCTGGAAAGTTGTAGTATGGCCTTCTCGTGGGTTGTGAGTGTGTGTGTGTTTCTATAAGCTGGGTGACATCAAGCACCAGCAAGCAGGTAAAGAAAACACAATTGTAAAATTATCACTTGTTTAGTTATTCTTTCCACTCTTCTTTCCTTCACTAACTGTTGGCTTTCATAAAATGGTAATATTTGATTCCTGCCCTCAGTTTACTGGAGGAGATAGGCATGTAAATGAATGAGTGCAATAAAGTTTTCTATATGCTGTGATGGTGTCTTTTTTAGATACAATAAGGAGATCGCAGAAGGACATACTCAATTTGAATTAGAGAATTGCAACCAACTTCACAGAGCAGGTGATGCTGAAACTGAGATTTGAAACCCAGTTATGTGTTTGCCGGGTAGGCCGTGAAGTAAGGGAATTCCACGTAGGAGCATTGGTGACAAAGACAAGGCATGACAGCTACACAGTGAATTCATGTCAGTGTAACTTAGTGTGAACATTGAGGTGCTGGAGAGGAGTATGGAAGCAGGTGAGACGCAACAAGAAACCCTCTTCCAGTATTATCAGCAAAAGTCTGTGTCGTAGGTCTGTCCACTAAGAGGGTCTAGAAATCACTGCCATCTTGGCACAAATAATCAAATAGAGCACCCAGATTGTCATTTCCAAATACGTCTTCCCAATAAAAAGAACCAGAACTTCTTGGAGAAAAGCTGATTCCAGGACTGAGAGAGGGAAACTGTAAGATGAGCCTGGAAGAGATTGCTGTGCTAGAAAGTTATGATGTACAGAAAGCTGAAGGAGAATATATCAAAATGGCACAGGAACAGTTTAAAGAGGCTCTCACTGGCCAAACGTGGGGCAATTTGAAAATCAACATGAATAACAGTGATGGACTGTAACTCAAATGGGAGTGGAGGTGCGGAAAAGTAGATATGGATCTAGATATTGAGGTAGAAGTAGATATATGTAATATATAGTTTGATAGTTGCAAAATGACTTTCTAATGCTTGTTATGTATAACAATAAACAATATATCACACAATAGAGTTATATATAAAGTTATATATGTTTATATTTTATAAATACATAAAGTTGTATATGTTTATATATGTTCTAAATATAACAGTATAGACATAAATGAATGTAAATAAAATGAATGCATGTAATACATAAAATTATTGTATGTTTATGTGTAATATAACAATAAAATAGCGGAGGGTTAGAAATACATGATAATAGGGGATAAAGGGGGGAAAGTTGGGAAAATTGGAATAGAAAAATCAATAAGATATACTTAAAAAAGGAAATACATAACAATAGATGCAGGTGGAGGTGAACACGCCTCGCCTCTGTGCACAACTATAGCAAAAAATAAAGCTACACTACAAAACAAATATCAGCCAGAATTGTCAGAAAATCAAGCAGTATGGAAGTCCAACAGCCAAGGAGTTAAAGAAGCCTCATTCATCCAGAAGCATAGGAGGGGCGGAGATGCGCAGAGGCGTGGAGACGTGGAGTGGTGCAGGGAGGTGCAGAGATGGGAACGGGGGTCCCACATCCACATGGGTGGATAAAAATGGGAGGAACACCGCCGGAGTGAGGGGTCCCAGCACCAGGAAGATAAGTCCCTGTAACTTCTGGCTGTAAAAACCAGTGAGGGTTGGGGCAGTGGAAGAAACCGTGTCCTCTTAAAGGGCCTCCAACACACTTAAGATTCCTATAGACACACTTAAGATTCCCCCTGCCCCACACTCTGGGATGCAGCACCAGGGCAACAGTGGGGAGGGCACCAGTGGCATCTGGGGAGAAAGTGAAGTGCAAGTGGGGAGACAGCTTCCTCCCGAGGAAAACTCCAGAGGCCAGGCGGTGGCATTGTCCCCTCTGTAAGCCCTCCTCCACACGGAGCCACAGAGAGGTGACATGGATTGTCCCATCCTGGCAATATCCTAAGGCTCTGCCCCATACAACTTGACAGGTGCACTAGGACAGGGAGTCAAAGCAGCTCCACCTCATTGACAGAAACAAACAGGGAGCCTGCCAAAATGTGCAGACAAAGAAATATGGCCCAAATGAAAGAACAGAAAGAAAACTGCAGAAAACGAACTAAATGAAATGGAGATAAGCAACCAGTCATATGTACAGTTCAAAACAACAGGCATCAGAAACTCATTGGGTACTTCAGTGCCATAAAAAGATCCAAGCAGAAATGAAGGTTGCATTAAGTGAAATAAAGAAAAATCTACAGGGAACCAATAGTGGACAGGATAAAGCCAAGAATCAAATCAACGATTTGGAACACAAAGGGGGAAAAAGCATTCAATCAGAATAGCAAGGAGAAAAAAGAATTAAAACAAACAAACAAAAAAAAAACACACACACAAAAAAACAAGGAGAGCCTCAGGAACCTCTGGGATATCTTTAAACAACCAACATCCAAATCATAGGGGTGCCAGAAGGAGAAAAGGAACAGCAAGAAACTGAAAGCTTATTTGAGCCCTGGCTGGTGTGGCTCAGTGGATTGAGTGCCGGCCTGCGAACCAGAGGGTCACCAGTTCAATTCCCAGTAATGGCACATGCCTGGGTTGTAGACTAGGAACCCAGTTGGGGGGGGTGCACAAGAAGCAACCACACATTGATGTTTCTCTCCCTCTCTGTTTCCCTCCCTTCCTCTCCCTAAAAGTAAATGAATACAATATTTTTTTTAAAAAAAGAAAACTTATTTGAGAAAATAATGAAAGAAACTGCCCTAATTTGGTGAGTGAAATTGACATGCAAGTCCAGGAAGCACAGAGCGTCCCAAACAACATGGACCCAAAGAGGACCACACCAAGACACATCATAATTAAAAATGCCAAAGGTTAAAAAGAAAGAATCTTAAAAGCAGCAAGAGAAAAGCAGACAGTGACCTACAAAGGAGTTCCCATAAGACTCAGGTGCTTTCTCAAAAGAAACCTTGCAGGCTAGAAGGGACTGGCAAGAAGTATTCAAAGTGATGAAAGGCAAGGACCTACGCCCAAGATTACTCTAGCTAGCAACGCTATCATTTAGAATGGAAGGGCAAATAAAGTGCTTCCCAGACAAGGTTAAGTTCAAGGAGTTCATCATCATGAAGCCCTTATTATATGAAGCGTTAAAGAGACTTACGTAAGAAAAAGAAGATCAACAGGATAAACATTAAAATGGCAATAAATTCACAACTATCAATAATTGAATCTAAATAACACACAAGCAAACAAGCAGAACAGAGACAGAATCATAGATATGGAGATCATTTGGAGGGCTATCACTTGGGAGGGGGAAGGAGGAAAATGGGGGGAAAGTGCAGGAATTCAGAAGCCCAAATTCATAGGTACAAAATAGATGAGGGGGGGGGGTGTTAAGAACTGTGTAAAAATGGAGTAGTCAAAGAACTTATATGCATGACCCATGGACATGAACTAAGAGGGGGTTTGCTGGAGGGAATGGGGGTATTGGATGGAGGGGGGGAAAGGAGTAGAAATTAGGTTAACTATAATAGCATAATCAATAGAATATCTTTTTAAAAAAGAAAAAAGGCAAAACTACGTGACAATAGATTTTGAAAGTCATCATCGTACAACTATCAAAAAATATTTAATTCAGACATGACTCATGAATGGATGCTAAAACCATTGGATAAAACTTGGGGAACAGTTCTAGAGAAACCGTTTCAGTCTCAAAATATCGCTTGTAGAATCTTACTAATTACAAGAGTGGGAAGGTTGACTTTCAAGGGAAAACATATGGGCTTAATCAAATGATCAACATTCACATGCACAATAACAAGACAAATTAATATCACATGTCTTTTGGTGAAATGCACCAAGAGAGATACATCATTAGTTCCCTGGTGTCCCTTCCAAAAATGTGCCACTTAGAGGTAGGCTATGTATGTGTGGGGACAGGGGGTATATGGGAAATCTCTGCACTTTGTCCTCCATTTTGCAGTGAACCTAAAACAGCTCTAAAACAAACTAAAGTCTTAGTAAAATGAAAATGCAAGGTTGAAGATCATTAGTAATTTTGAGCCCTGGCTGGTGTGGCTCAGTGGATTGAGGGCTGGCCTGTGAACCAAAGGGCCACCAGCTCGATTCCCAGTCAGGGCACATGCCTGGGTTGTGCCCCCGGTGCACAGTAGGGGGCGTGCGAGAGGCAACCACACAGTGATGTTTCTCTCCCTCTCTTTGTCCCTCCCTTCCCCCTGTCTAAAAATAAATGAATGAAAATCTTGATTTACTTTTTAAGTAACTTTACCTTCAGTTTTCTTAATTTGAAAGAGTGATAACATTTACTAAGCACCTTTTAATGTACATTTGTGGCAGTCAGTTTTTTAATTTGAAAATTAAGAAAAAGTTTTTAGTTTTATTAAGACATAATTGACAAAAACATTGTATTAGTTTAAGGTATACAACATAATGATTGATATAGGTATATGAGCATAAGTACTACAAGTTAACACCCATCACCTTCTATAGTTACCATTGTTTTTCTGGTGATGAGAACTTGTAAGATCTATGCCCTTAGCAACTTTCCAATAGACAATACAATGAAACTCTTAAAAAATAATTTAGGGATGGCAAGAGTAGTGCATTAAAACAAGTCGGGGGCTCTTCAGTGCATAGTTGCATGCCCATGAAGCCAGCCCCATTGCCCACTGGGTTCCTGAAAGTCACAGGGTGAAAAATAGAGAAGCTGAGTCATGTCCTCAGCAGAGCTCCAGGAGGCCGCCTACTCACTTCCGCCACCAGATCACAGCCACTGCCCTGGCTGTTGTGCTGTTGTCCAACTTTGCCTACAATTCTGTGGTTTTGTAAAGAAAGAAAGAAACAAACAAAAGACAGAAAGTTTTCAGTTTTATTAAGACATAATTGACAAAAACATTGTATTTTGTCAATACAATGGGAGGGGGGAGGGAGGGAGGAAAAGAATCAGACAAATCCCAATTTATGGACACATTACAAAATAAAGGGCCCATATTCTTTAAAACAATTCAATGAATCGGAGGCTAGGAAAGGCTGAGAAACTGTTCCAGATTAAAGGTGACTAAAAGCACGTGATATCGCAATGCCATATGTGATCTTGGATGGGACAATAAAGGTGATACAAAGGACAACAGGAAGACAATTGGCAAAATATGAGTATGGGATTTATATCTGGTAGTGTGTCATTGTGGAAATTTCTGAATTTTATAATTACACTGTAGTTATGGAAAAGAGTACCCTTATTCTTATGAAGGGAGGGGTTGGGAGCCAGGTGAGGGGGCTGCTGCATGTGTGAGACATTGTAGAAGGGTAAAAACTTGGAAATAACAGAGGACACAAATATACAGCCGACCTGATGCTGTTTTTTTTGTGTCCAGGATACCTTTATAATAGTCATCAAGAGCTGGACATGCATTACCTTCTTTAAAGCTTTCAAGAGCAATGATGGGAAGTACAGGTATTGACCTCACTTCACAGATGAGGAAACTGAGACGTAGAGAGAATTAATCCTTTCCCCAAGATGACACAGCTTATAAGTGGCAAAGTGTCTGTCCTATGATCCAGAGACCAGCTACCTCCCTCAGAAAAATCTACGTCATTTATTGCGTTTGCTAAGATGCTTTTGGCCTTACACAACACAACACTTTGATTCAAACTAACATAATCTTGTATACCAGGCATTCCAGTGGTAGGGTGAGGTCCAGGCAAGTTGGTTATAAAGTGCATCAGGAATGGTATCAAGGGCCCATGTCTCCTCTGTCTCCATGCTCTGCCATCCACAGTGGTAGCCTCCTCTTCAGGCTGGTCCCCAAGTGGCTGCCCCAGATCCAGCCTTCATATCCAAGCCAGGTAAGGTAATGTTCAGGCACAGAAAGAACCATGTCTTCCTGGTTCTCTTTTTCGTGGGGAAGGAAACTTTTCCAGCAGTAACCCCTCAAGGAGATACCACCCATCAGCACATTGGGCAGTGATGGGTCACACACTCATTCCTGAACTGTTCTGTGCCAGGTCTTAAGTTACACTTAAGTTAAAGTGACTGAGTGACAACATGGAAGGGTCAATGTCGTTGGGAGAAAACTTTAATGTTACTCAGAGTTCC